TGACGTAGAAAACGGATATAGACAAAAAAAAATGTACAAAATATTAATTCTCAGTAAATAATTATATTAAATTATACGAATAATATATATCATTCACGATATTATTTAATATACGAATATATTTTAAAAGTGTGTTAGATAAAAATAATATGAACTAAAATGAGAACGTACGATTTACCTGCAAGATATCGTTCGTATGAATTTCCAAAATAACAAATTCGAAGACATTTCATTGTATACTAGAAAAAAAAAAAAAAAAAAAATTGTATCATTCACAAATAGCTACCTTAGCAAAGTATTTCTTTCGTGCATATGTTGTTGATATCTAATACTGCATATAGGAGAATAATAAATAATCGATATTGATAGGAACAGTGCAAAAAGTCGTCGTTTCATTCAGCAAGCTTATTTACATAATAAAATATTATTTTAGGAGTCGGTATCTTTTCACAGCTGATATTAGGATAATGACATAGTTTGATTTTCTAAAGTATGGAATTACATTGAACCGTATCATTTATGGGGAGGGGGTAAAAGAAGAAGAGACAAAATATCGATAAGATAGAAAAGTATTCTGTTAGTATTTCTTTTTCAGTATAGTATATGGGAATATTCAAAAGGTTATATACTTTCTCTTAAAAAAGAAAAAAATATAATTCTCAATTTGTTATCAATAAATTTTTTTATTGTGAAATGTGATCGTAAGATTTATGTAAAAGTTAAATAGCGAAACATTTTAAATGAAAGATGATAGAAAAGTTATATTATAAAAAAATAAATGAAATTTGTGCTTAAAAATGACGGTAGTCAAATCAACGTTTATTATTCTTGGAATTTGTGGATGCTGGAGACCGATGTCTTGGTCATTGTCGTTTTATAAACGTCATATTTATAATTTCTATACGATTTTTATAGCATTTTTAGTAACGACTTTGTCATTAACTCAAATCGTCGGTATCATTTTAAATGCTAACGAAAACGACGACATTTCCGATGACGTTTATGTATTCCTGGCACATTTTGTATCTTGTTTTAAAATGTTAACACTCGTGATCAATCGTAATAATATTGTTAACTTAATTGTTACATTGGAAAATGAACCCCATCGAATTATGGACAATGTTGAGGCCAATCTTCAAATGAAATTCGACAAATTGTCGCGGTTTGTATTATTTATTGTATAATTCTTATTATCTTTATTTATACATAATAAGTATTATTTAATTTATAATTTTATATATATATTTTATAATATATTTATTTAATTCAATTATTAGCAATTCTCTTACCATTATATTACTTTTTAATTATTAATATTAGATATCACAAAAATGAGGAAAAACGTTTTTCTTTTTCAGGTTTAACACTCACGGTTATGCATTTTTGATTTCATTATCGGTAACCAACTTTTTATTTTCCTCATTAGTTTCAGACTTTAAAGAAAGACAATTAACTTTTCGAGTATGGTTGCCATTTGATGCTTACATGACACCCCTTGTATATTATTTAACGTACGTTCATCAAATGTTATCGTTAACATTAGGAGCAATAATTCACGTTGCTCTAGATACCTTAATTTGCAATCTTTTAATAACCATTTGCTGTCAGATTAAATTATTGGAAAATCGTTTGTCCAAAATAACAAACGAACGAAAAAATATTTTAAAACTTTGCATTCGTCATCATGAATCTATATACAAGTAAATTCAATATTATAATTACATTGTTGTTTTGTAGAAATTTTCACACGTAAACTAATTAAAAATGATTGAATGATTTGTGAATTCTTTTATTTTCAAAGGTATGCTGCATCAGTAAATAAAACATTTAAATTTGCGATTTTCATGCAATTTTTGGCAAGTACATTGAC